CTAGATAACACTATTTCCCAGAAACTGTAACTAAGGTGTGCCCAGCGTAGTTGCAGTATAAACTCTGTGGTTGTTGAATAAACACAAATGTGCCTGAGCAAACTTCTGAAATAGGGATTGATTAGCTGCCATAGTAGACGGGTATCCTAGAATGCAAGTTACCAGCAATACATACATTCTCGGATACATGTGACCAGCCATTTAAAAAGAGTTTAGTCACTGACTTTTCTCCATCAGTCATCATACTAGAAACAAAAAGTTCTTGTCTCTCCCCAGGGTTATGTGAACAAAATACTCGAACGACTTTTGCTCACTGGTAGAGATTAATATATATTAATATATAAATACATGAATAACGAACTGGTATTTTAACCATTTGACCTAATCAATTATTATTTTGAAAAGAGATCTAACTGAATAGATATTGTCGTGTCGAAAAAAATAAATAAATAAAAATTAGTTATAGTGTGAAATATAATTATAGTAAAATAATAATAACAATTATAATTATCATAAATTCACTCATTATGAGAATCGACCTTACTTTTCTCCGCTACACGCACAACATTGTGACATTCTCATTATCGGACAGGCCGCCAACACGTGCGACAACGAAAATTTCATCTCCTTTTCCTGTTTCAGGCCATAGTAATATTTATCTCTTAGAACTCGACATAAATTCGAAGTAAGGAAACCCCAGTCACTTCTTGTAGTTTCCAAACTACCGTAATTTCCAATGTATAATACGCTTTCATCCATAATGTGCACACCTAAAATTGTGCTGGTGTGGAAATATGCTTCTACTCATGCATAATACGCACTCCTTGTTTAGTAATCAAATCCTTTAAATTGTACCTTTCCAATTTCATTACGGCCAGCATTTCCTACTCTTATTTTTAAAAATGGTTTTAAACATAGAATAATATTCTTCTAATTTAGTTTTATGATAATTTTTATTTTATTTTACGGCAATTTTTTAAAAGATTTTTTGTAGCTGTGCATAATACGCAACCCTGATTTTGCTTATTATTTTTTTTCTTTTTAGAAAAAATGCGTATTATACATGGGGAATTATGGTAAATGATCTGAACGTTCATTATACTCATCTATAAAAAAAAAAAAAATATGAGAAAGACTGTATACACTTTACTTATTCATTGTCTTATTCTATCTGCTTCCGATCCATATTTGATCGACATTTGACACCAAACAGACAATTTTACATACTATTACCGTCTTTCTTGTCTCAACACCACAGAGCAACCAAATAATAAATAATAGTCGTTTTGTTGTTTCCACGTCTTGATGTTTCTCATTTCCCAAGGATTTTTCTATATATAAATGTTATAATTAATGGGATTTATAATTATTTACACAGGGTTATAACATCCCTACAATATATAACGCTTTCTTGGTTACTCCTAGCCAGAGACACCTTATAAAGAGCGGTCCAGCCTGTTTTAGGAGCACTTATCTAATAGGCTGAATCTCTCCATTGAATTAACAGAAAAGCACCCTGACGCTTGTTGACAAAAACCATTAAGAGGGGACTGTTTTTGATACAACAAACTTGTTTTCCTTCCCCTAGATCAATTTATCGATGACAAAGAGTATGACAGGAGGTTATACTCTTCATAGTTGTTCAAAGAGGCTTAGAAGTTTTTTTTTTTTCTGAAGTGTGTATACAATTCTTGGTTGACTCTGTATATATGTTTCATTAAATAATATAGACAAGTTTTGTCTATTTATTTTAAGTAAGTTCCTTTCATATTGTGTGATAAGCTTAATAACATTATCATTGAAAGACGAAAGGAAATCACCATATTGATACATGTTTAAATCCAATCTAATCTTTCGGCTTACATAAGCCATTATCAAAGATGACAATTACTTTTCAATATATCAACCAATACACGGACGAAGCAATAATGATAATCTGTTTTTGTTGTATGAAAAATTTCAAAGCAACGGCTAACTCGTGCATACGAGACGCGGAAGGGAAAATCGCGTCGCAGCTCGTGACGTCAAACATGACAATGCGAGAGTGAAAACGAGAAGTATTAAGTATGGGAAGCCATTGGTATAACCCAATGGCTTCTGTTATCAATTATAGGCATTTAAGAATATTTGTGGAGACTTCGTAGTTTATTTTGTTCAGGTTAGGTTTCAACTGTTTTATGTATAGAGCTTCGTCTTTCAATGATAATGTTATTAATCTTATCAGACAATATGAAAGGAACTTACTTAAAATACATAGAAAAAACTTGTCTATATTATTTAATGAAACATGCATTAATGAAAAATTGCTGCCTAAATATACACAATATATATATGTGTGTGTGTGTGTGTTAAGTTATTTTAAAACCCCTTTTTATTCTTCTTTTAGTTTTGAATTAATATTTCATTCTTCATATAACCCAAAATTAATGTCATAAGGTTTATATTCGGATTTAATTTTTATAAAAGTTCTTACTTTTAAGACAAATAGTTTCCACCCTCCCCTCACCCCTGTTTCGTACCTTGCGTCTGACCGAAGAATTGACATGGATAAAAATTGTATTAGTTTTTCGACCGGTTCTTTTTTTTCTTTTTTTTAAACTTTCACAGTTAAATTTCTATTTCTGAGACGAACTCAGTCCATACCGGGGTTGATAAGAGAGACGACCTACATTTCCCTCTGCCGAAATAGACTATTCCCCATATTTGGATTTTATTGTTTATTAATTATTTGCTCTGTAATAATAAATACATTAACCTCTTTCTGTGGGTCAGTTTTAATATTTTATATTACTACGCTCCACTTGGATTATATACCAACGGATTTGTTACCTTTACTATATATATATATATATATATATATATATATATATATATATATATATAGTATATATAAAGGTGTGCTATATTTATGGGATAAAGTGCTCAATATCAGAGATAGAGCGTGTGTAAATATAAAAGGTCTGACGATTTCATTATTAGGAAACAACTGATATTACCATTAGTATTAGAAATGAGGAGAACAGATAATACACTTTGATCATAGCCCGATGGTCAAGGAGTGAAGAAAAGCGTCACTCGAGGAAGACTTGCTGCTCGGTTAATGAATGCCGAAAGTTTCCTTATAAAGAAACGGCTAATATTATCATTAGTATTAGAAATTAAAACAGATACTACACTTTGATCGTAGCCCGAAACCCAAGAAGTGAAGAAAAGCGTCACTCGAGGAACACTTGCTGCTCGGTCAATGAATGCCGAATGTTTCCTTATAAAGAAACGGCTATTATCATTAGTATTAGAAATTAGAAAAGATACTACACTTTGATCCTATTCTCTTCTCTATCTATGAGGAGATTGCATTCAATGTCATGTAGAAATATTTCCTTTTTCTTAAGACATTGCTTAACTTTTGGAAAGCATTTTTCTCTATTCTAATGCACCTTCGGAATTCTGTGCGATATTTACCCTCTGCTGTTAAAAATCAAATTCCTAGATATTTAGATTTTTGTAGTTGCTTGAGTTTTTTTTTTTGTATCTCCACTTCATAGTCCGGATCTTTTGCTGACAACCATACTTACAGTCTTCTTGCAATTTATTGTTAGTCCTTTCTTCCCGCTTTCTTTTCCCTTCAGTTGGAGCGCTTTTCCTTTTCCCTGTCTGCTATCAACACTGTGTCATCTTCATCACCTATGTTGTTATTACTGTGGACACCAAGGACGATTCTAATTCTCTAAGAATCGCTTTATTGTTAAAGTGGAATAAGTCCTGTGAGGAGCTACGTCCTTGTGTCATGCTGCATACGTTAGGTAAATAATAACATCTTCACTACAGCTATCATAACGAGAGACGACTGTGATTTTTGCTAGTAATGTCCATAGTGATACGACTACTACAAGTTCTGCGCTCACGCAAATACCTCAAAAGATTTTTTAGAAAATTAGCGTTCATTTTGGTTAGAGAGCGGGATTTGTGATGAGGACCTAAGAAAAAAGATTTAGCAGCTGAGCGGGCATAATTTGTACAAACAAAATCTAAGGACGAAAATAAAGAAAACAAAATGTTTGAAGAAAAAGAAAAGTGGAGAGGTGAAAGGGAACATTTCTATACAACCGCCAACAAGACAACCATCACCCCCACCCCGGCATCAAGTCCAACAATAAAACACTAACTACTGCAACGTGTACGAAGAGAAGCAGTTCATTGAGCTGTAAAAGTATGCTGAGATCACAAGCCATTGATAGTGGGTTTTGCTGTTTGCCAAAATAGAAAAAAAAAAAGAAGTAAAGGAAAGAAAGAAAAAAAGCCTAATAATCCAGAAAGCAAAGTTGAGGCAAAATCTGAATGAGACAAAAGGAAAGCAAAAAATGGTATCGTGTGTTTACAAAGCCCGAAAGGAATAAAAAGGAATAAATATATATATATATATATATATATATATATATATATATATATATCTACTCTACTCCCGTCGAATTCGACGTATAATGGTCAAGCAGATCAGTTCATAGGAAACCGACAGCCCGACAACAGCACATGAGATTTGATTATAGAAGGTATGATTTGAAGGTTTCGTGCAGGACCATCCATACTTTTTGAAGGGCCGAATAAAGAGACCTGTTGCACTACGTGCCACAAGGTCCCAAAACGACACTACGCAGGTTTTGAATTCAGAGTTGTCCTTCTCCTAGACCAGCTGCCATCCAAGGCTATAGAACCCATCTGTCCTGCTATTTACCCATAGCTGGAGGGAGAAGAAGAGGATTCACACCTTTCCCAAGGGTTTTAGCACGGAAGTGAATGCAATGGATTCGACTGGAATTCGAATTCGGCTCTCCGATTCCTCAATCCAAGCCCGCTATCCATTAATCTATGCCACACACACACACACACACACACACACATTTTTGTGTGTGTGTGTGTGTGTGTGTGTGTGGATATTTAGATGGATAGATATGAGCAGACAGAGACAGACAGATAGATATGAATGGTTTGTGATAATGAAC